TACAGCTGTAGAAGGTGGGTGCCAGCTTGCTCCTGAGCTGTGCACAATCTATCAGCTTTCCAAGCCTGCTTCCTCCCCATCTCTAGGTGCAGTTCGACACCTGCTGCCCATGCTCCCAGAGAAGGTCACAGGAACCTTGCTACTGACCCCAGTGAACACTGCTGTAGGCCTCACAACGCTGGCAGCAATCTGCAGAGCCCCATATAAGTTGCATTTTTATGTCCTCTTTCCATGTGTGGTCAGGATGACGAAGAAAGGCTTTAATTCTGACTGTCTGAAGCAAGCTGTCCTCAGAGGTTGTCACCGATTTGTCACATCATGTCCTTTCACCTGGTCTAAGCATGCCAGCTTTTTTCAGGATGGTCTGAAACGGCTCACTGGAACTGGTAATTGGAGGGCTAGACAGTATCCCTGCTCCTATTTGTGTTGCAGCAATATTTCATTAAATTAGCACTGGATGCAACTCCGGCAAGCTAATGTACATCCATACCAATTTGCAAGGCTGTCTGCAGGTACTCCCCTTGGGACTGGATTCCACAGTGACTTAGTGTTAGTCATTGTTTCCCCATGACTCTGTGCTTTTTAAGCCAAATGCTCAATATTCTGGGCAGGTGTCACAGAGTGCAACTTTCTGCTGCTGCAAGCAGAGAAAGTCAGACGCAGCCCAAGGAAATACTGAGTGAGGAAGGTGTGGCTTTCTGATGGTTAGCACAGGTCCTCAGGCTGAAATCTGGAAGGCAGCATTGCCTCAGTTTTGCCCATCTCCTTTTCTCACGGAACAGAAAGTGACTGCACGGGGGTAACTCATGTATCCAGAGACCCAGCACTGGGCATATTGCCTGCTGCTTTCAGAGCATAGTTTGAAACATGTCATCTCCAGGTGAGTCAACTCCTACATTGCACAGAGAGGGTGACAGCTGCTATGGTCATGTAGATCTATGCCAGGCCTTGGCAGAAGGGCATTGTACGTCCTTTTGTGATGCCGGAGTATTTAGAAACCCAAGCCTGTCTGCTCAGCCAAATGTTCACATTAAAAAATGTCTCGTCAGCTCGTGGTGTTTGTCCACACAAAGCCGAAGTTCTGTGTCCAGCTGTTTCTCCTAACAGAGGAAAGAAGTCTGGTTCACCTCAGCTGGTCAGCTCAGTCAAGACTAAAGTGCAGGGGAAATTCCAGGAATAGCATGGAATTGGGTTAAAACACTGTGTATAGAGACTTGTTTGACATCCCAGATGTTTTTAATTGCTTTTGTAAAAATAAAATGAACTTTTAATACTTCATCAGTGTTATAAAAATCCTTTCTGTTTGTTTTTAACCAAGACTTGTGTTTGTCCTGGATGTTTTATTGGTCTGTGCTAATAGATATCAACAGAGCTATGATTCCCTCCATCGGTCACTGAAATCCAGCTTGTCCTCCCGTGCCCTGACTTAGGAAATCTTCTGCTGGATACTTGGGCCAGAAAAAGGAGCAAGTGAATGTTCCCTTGCGTAGCTGCAGAATGTGGGCATAGTGAATGCTTGGAAGACCAAAGGGTAGACAGCCGTGCCTGATGGAAACACGAGCTATTTCTGGCTAGAACGTGCCTCATGTGAGAAGCGTATGCTGTATTTTTGGACGCCTCTGAGGGCAAGTGAGCACTCTTGAAGGTATGGATGGGAGCATGAGGCAGGGAGATTTCTGAACCTTAAGGACAACCACAAAGGATGTCTATGAAAATGCCTTGCTGGGTCAAGGAAAGAATGTCAGGGAGGTATCTCGAGGCCTGCTGTTAGTTGTGGGTAATGAGCGTATCACAAGCAAGGTAATGTTTCTAATTGATTTCACTGAACAACAACACTATATGTTAAGTGTCACGTTCATGAGATGAGCTGATCCTCAATGAGATCTTTCAACAGAATGCCTGCAATAAATGTAAGTGGCGCATAGATGATGGTACAAACAAAAGCAGATAAATAAGGACACCATGCAAGACAGGTAGAGCTGAATCAGGGCAAGATTTCAGGAGGACTCAGGCTGCCAGCAGCATTTTGTGGAGTGGATGGTAGAAGGCTGCAGTGGAACACTGTGCCAACAGGAGATCTGCCACTGCCACTTCCCTGCACATCAGGTGTCTGGTGCTGGGAATGCACAGGGAGTCAGCCCGACCAATATCTGCCTTCACAGACTTGCTGTTCACGAGTTCTCCGAATGAATGCTTCCTTTTACTTTTTTTTTTTTTTCTTCATGTTTTGGGAAAAAAAATAAAAGCTGCTGATAATTGATAATTCTTTTATTGAGGTCTTCCAGCAAAGAGTGGTGTTCAGATATCCATGCTGGTTTTGAGTGTGTAGCAGATTTTGGGGTGGGAGCGTGAGTGAACAGCTGTCCTGATTTTAGGCTCTGGCACGGGTGAGTGACAGCAAGAGGCAAGGCAGTGACGGCCTGTGTGGAGGATGTTACCTGAAGCTGTTTCCCAGGAGGTGGAGGGTAAGAGTCATCTGACCAAATGTAGACGTCTGTATCTGAGTATTCATCTCAGTTCCCTTTATAGTCAATGGAGAAAAATAAGCACTTCTAGTGTGTGATTCATCTGAGTCTAAAGGAGATGTACAAAGTAAATCAGATGATTCACACCCCAGACATGCCTAGTTCTCTCCATTGAACATGAAGGACGACTGGCTCAGATGTAGATCTCTAAAGCAGGGTGAGACAAATCCCACTCAAAGCATCGGGTTTGAAATGTCAGCCCAGGAAAACATGCAGAAATAGTGTCCTCCCAGCTAGGCACTGTGGAGAGAGTACCTCAAGCACCTTTCCTACAGATTTTCTCTACACCTGCCATTATGAGAAGCACGTGCATTGTGGAAGAGATGCCACAAGGTGTTTTTTATTATTATTATTATTTTATTAGGAGATTGCAGCAAGTTGGTAATGTGGAGGGGAGAAGAGAAGGTCTGTGGGTCTAACCCACTCAGGAAGTTCGTTGCAGAGGTGGCGAGCATGGTCTGCAGGTCAAGATTCAGCTCTGAGGGATATGTTAAAGCTTGACGTTGCCATGCTTCATGTCTCCTGCTCCTCGCTGAGCAGGTCAGGGAGTATTAAACACCAGCCAGGCTAAAACAGCCTCCAGTCTTTTTCCATATTGATGGAGAGGTTTCAACTGGGAAGGGAGTTTAAATTCCCCTTGATTTTGTAGATCTTCCCCCCACAGCCACACCGGGCTGAGTGCTGGTGACACCGTGCTCCGTGCCGGTTTCTGTCCAGCCTCGTGGAGCTCTTAAGCCCTGACCGTGCTGAGTCAGTCGCTTCTTGGCTGCCCCGATAAATCCTTCTGTTGACAGTGGTAAGCTATTGCAGTAAGCACAACAGGAATAACTAGGCCTGAAGTCAAGTTAGAGCAGAGGCAGGCTTTAGAGCCATAAACAGCCTCCTCCATTTGTTTCTGCCCAGTAACATCCTACAGATACGTGCACTTCGGAGGGTTTTCTCCAAATGGGAATTTCCATCTGGCCGCGGCACTTTCAAGCCAGGGCCCTGCTGGTGCTGGGTGGGGAAACCTGACAGCTCATGGGTTTCTCCTGCTGGATGGGTGCTGGTGTGGCTGCTCACCAGTGCTGGATGCAGGGCAGCATCCTGCCAAGGTGGTCCTGGCACCAGGAGGGGTGTGCAGAGAGGAGGCAGGGTCAGTGCGGAGGTGTGGTGACACGGGGTGAGATGGATATGGGACAGCAATGTTGTAAGGGACTCTGATCTCTGTCACACAGTTGCTCTTGTTCCAAGGAGGGGTGAGGGGGCAGGATGTTTCCTGCAGTCAAGACATCAAATAATTAAAAGAGAAAAAAAAAAAAAAAAAAAGTGGTGCATGGAAGCAAGACGCTCTGAGATGCACTTTTATGAGTCTTTGTAATATTACACTTCCAAGACTGCCAGACATCAGTGACGGGTCCCTCATTTGCTTCCAAATATGCTGACTGTCAGAGCAGGATGCCAGGCTCTGTGCTGGCTCAGACCAGAAAGGATGATTTTGGAGGTCTTGCGCAGTTTAACTCTGTAGCAAGTCTACTTAATTGTGTGCAGGCCTTTGCCAGTGTATTTTATTGATTACTATATGAGGCCAGGGAGGCTGTGATGGGACCTTTATAAACAAATAAAAACAGAATGCTTGCATTTCACATCGAGGCCTGATGCCTAACAGCTGAGGACCGTACTAGAGACCTGCAGTGTGAAATGCTGTGGGGCTTCAGAGGTTAACATGGACTCTGAGCACAAGGCCAGCAGCGTGGTTGCACAAAGGATCAGAGCAGTGGCTGTTGCCTCAGCACCAAGTCCCCAAGAGGGCAAGAGCTGGAATACTGGAAAAACTGGACTGTTCCCTTCTTTCCCAATCTCTCCTGTGTAGCAATCGCAGTGAAAGATTGGCATGTGACTCTCTTAACTGCTGGCCTAAGCTACTGCACTAGTGCCCTGGGAAGGGGCTTCCAGGGGTTTTGCAAGGCCTGTACCTCTCCCCTGGATAGCCAGCAACTCTGTTGATCCACATGGCACATGGGACATGGGAGAAAAAGCCAAAACTGTGGTGCACATCTTCCATCTTGTGTGTGCCACGAGTGCTACAACACTTTCTGCTCCGTTTGGACAATTTTTAGAGAAAATAGCCTCACGACTCTTCAGCGTTTAGGTGCTCCTGATCTCTACAAACACCTGCTGCCACTTTGTTGACTGTGTTCACCTTTAATTTCTTTCCCACCGATTAGGTGGGCCTGATAAGGTTGAGCGCAATGTCGCAGTGACAGGAGTTGCACAACCAGTGCAGTGCACGTGATTGACATAATGTGGTATGAGGGAACCCTCAAGGGTTTCCATTAGTCCAGATCAGGAAGTTCCTCCTCACCCCCTCACTCAGAATAAAATAAGAAACGAGGAAAGGAAAAAAATAAAAATAAAAACCTCCCACATGCAAACCAAAGTATAAAGAGCAAGTCAGGTTCACAAAGTTTAGTCCTTGAAGAGAGAAGAGAAAACACAGAAAAAAAATACAGATTTATACTGATAAGCGTATTTTAATATGGTTGTTTTGGTCTTCACAAAAAGAACAGAAAAGAAAAAAAAGGAAAGAAGAGAGTACAATTGAGGTAATCTGTGGTATAGACTAATGCCAGGGGATTTCAACACTCTAAACACATGCTTTTTTAACCTTTCCCTCTTTATGCAGCATTTTCTTGGGCCTTTTTCTTCATAACAAAGCCATGGCACTTCCTGCTGCATTCCCCATGATAAAGGCATATGGATCTGGGAGAAATGAAGGGGAAGTGAAAGTAATGCAGGTAAATGAAATCATTGCCGAAGCCTGGGAGTGTGTGTGTGGGATAGTATTTTGTTACATAAAATCCGTGCTGGAGGAATGTGGCTTTTTTCCCCAGAAATGATTACCTCATGTGATCAAGGCTTGTGCAAATGGGGGTTGACTGTATATTTACTTAACTAAATGAACACCGAGATTAAATTTTGGAACATCTTGCTAACCCCTTGAGTAATGTTGACTTGTTCCCATTCCCTACCCTTTGGCTATTATCTGCTGTTTGGTGTCTCTTGTTTAATCTAGCTGGCTAATGGGTCATCTTTTAGTGTTACCTGACTCAGAAGCATGGTTAAAAGCCTGCAGAGTGTGTCAATACAAGCAGAACAGAAAGGGGTGGCCAGCAGGACCGAACAGGAGGGACTGGTTACAGAGACATTCAAGTTCATCAGATAGCAAACTGTCCAGTTGCCTTCCAGCTCTCCTGTAAGGGGTGTTTTATTTGTTTATTTTGATTAATTTTTAAGCCGCACCCATAAAACCCCATTGCTTTGGTCAGAAGGCATTTGGTTAAAACTGCTGCTGGAGCAGGTACATGTTACTCATATGACTTTGGATGCATGACTAAGTATTTTCAGAAGTACTGCCTGACTGGAGGTGCCTCCATTTCTGAATGCTGTGTTTGAGCCACTTGGAAGCTGTTTCAGAAAAATTGTCCCCAGTCTGATTCTTATAGCGTTTAGTAAGATGATCAAACATGCAGTTCTTTGTGATTGCATTGTGAGCTTGCAAAACCGGGTCCTTAGTCTTGCTGTGTTCCTGATTTCTTCCATCTGTAATGATATATTTGCCCTCTACTGATGGAAGTCAAGAAGTTTTAGTCAGGAATACTAAGAGTACTGGGAAACCCAAGCAAAACTATCTCTAAAGTGAAATGCATTGGCTGTCTTCAAATACCACTTTTATATATATATAATATATATATTATTCTTTTCGCCAGTGAACAGCGTTAGAAAAGCCTGTCTGATTCTCAGCTGGAATTAAAATTCCATATGTGCTATATTAACTGGTTAATTGTGTCGTTCATTTTACAACCTTCCTCTGAATGGCCTGATTGAAATGAATGGATTTTAATCTCAGGGGGAACAAAAATAAAGGGAATTAAATGCTTAAAGGTTTGTTCTTTTTCAGCACATACATTTTGGAACATAGGTTACACATTTAAAACAAATGTAGAATGTCTTTCCTGCAATTATAAACTGTCCACTTTTGCAGTTTGACGGTCCCTACCAGGATGTGGTGGCTGTGTATGTGATTGGCAAGTAGTTCAGTGGGCAATTTGCTGTTTCACGAGAGCAAAGGAAGGCAGTGGGCCTAGAGGAGAGAAAAGTGTGAGGGAAAGTGTTCTAACTTACAGTCTTACTAGTTTGGCCATTAAAGTGTATTAGGTCATTCATTAAAGCTTATTCATGAAATTAATTATTCATTAAAGCACTTTGGGGGGGTGGGGGAGTGTGGAAAGAGCCGAGCAGCACCAGTCATTATTTACACTAGCAGTTTCATCATGGAGTGAGATTACGGGGCCAGATTCTCCTCTGCATTTCAGCAGTTGGGTTTCACAGACATCATGGAGCAGCTACCGATTTAGACTAATCTGTGGCAGAACAGAGTGCAGCCCATACTGCTTCTCTAAGAGGGTGCCTTGGGCAGTTTCTTTGCCATTTTATTGCTGGCTAGGTTTCGGGATGCTTTACAAATGGATAAAAAATTAAAGAACTATGACAAATGGATCTTCTCACAGCGTGAGGTTCGACTGAATCATTCCGTGACTCTGTGATTCCATTGAGATAGTTAGGAGGAGATGGATGTGAAAAGCATTCACATTAATAATTAGTAGCTCATTTTAAGGCTTTTTGTTTGTTTATTTATTTATTTATATTTCCTACTATCCTGTCATTTTTTTAAATAAACTGCTTTGATTTTCAGTCCTCACATAAAAGGTTCAGGGTGACAGCAGGGGACAGGGAGGGATCACACCAAAGCTCTTATTCCGTTAATATGATATACAGCGTGTGAGAGCACAGCAGTCAGTAATGGGAAAGGACTAGTAAATCACCGAGTTTGTGCCTTTGCTAAGAGAAGTGTGTTAGGTAATGATCATCCTTCTTCATAGCAGCACTTCCCAGCTGTGATTTCTAGTTGAAGCTCACGGATGGAGATGCACACATGCAGCTGGATGGGTGACTTGACACCTAGCAATTGATGCACACAACTGCCCGGGGGCTCTCTGCCTAGGGGCAGATGGCATGCTCTTGGGATTTCAGGCAGAATCGCTAGAACTCATTTCCACCGGCATATCTTGTCTGACAAATCCTACGATATGATTGGGGTCCTTAGTGTAAGGCTGAGATGCAGAATATTCTTTTCTATATTAATGAACAAGTAGATCAGGAGGCAGCATTTAAGGCTTTCTGTGTCTGTACCCTGACTCTGTAAGTGCTGCACTGTCAGTGGGGTGGGACTGGCTAGAAGCAAACTGTGGCACAGCTGCTCTGTGGGTCCTTGACCTTACCCATTCCCGATGTCAGCTGAAGGACTTGGCACTAAGATCTGGCAACAATCACATGGTGTTTGAGGATATGGGGAGGTACTGCTCCAAAACCCTACTAAACCAGGTGAATGACGTGAACCTGAGCTTTTGTTGGTTCTCTTCCTTTGCTTCCTTAAAAAGCTCCTACACTGGGACCTTGGACTCTCCTTGTTGTGCAGGGTGATGATGCAAGTCCCAGGGAAACAGCCATGTGGAAAATCTGCAGCTCATAGTCATGGGGCCAGGTCCTCTGATGACAGGGAGCGTGGAGTTAGTGGACTTATTCTAGCTGGCAAGCTGACCTATTGAATTTCCAGTTCCTTTTGTGGGAATAACTCAGAGCATGATTTGATCTGAATTTCTGGCGCAGGGCAAGCCAGGGAGATTTCAGGCTTCTAATTGGCATTAGAATGTCTTTAGAAATCCAGCCTCTGCCATTTTATCTTCTGATCATCTTTCAGGCTGCACAGCTGTCTCTTGCTTTGACTCCTGCACAAAACCCACAGTCTCAGTCTCTGCAGCCCTTCCCTGCCTGGTTCATTGTTTGGGGCCTGCCCTAAACAATGGTGCGCCCCCAAGAAGAGCTGGCAATTTCCTTCTGGGGTGGGCTGCGTGAGCTCCAGGCGAGGAGCTAGCTCTGCTTGAAAGTAGGGGGGCTCCTGACCACTGTGCACTCCCAGGGGAGGAGGGAAGGGGAAAAGCAACCAGCATCAGCTCCCTGTTTCTCTGTCAGGTTCATATTTGGTTTGGACACTGAATGTGGTGGCAAAAGAGAATAAGTGTATGTCATGAGCAGCTATGAAGACTGAAAAAAAGAAAAAAAAAGAGACAACCCCACACTTTCCCTGAACACAGAGGTATGGAGAAGAACACCATGGGTTCACACCGCGTTTCTGTCCCAATGCTGCAGAAAATGAAAGAGGAAGCATTGACAATAGCTCTGTGAGCCATTCTTTTGAGTCACATGAGAAATCTAACACATTGCCATGGGGCTGGGTAAACAGGAAGCCAAAATAAGCCCATTCACACTGCTAGCTGAACTTGGCAGTGGCTCCCATGTGCTTCTGCAGCATCTGGATGTATACCAACTGCAGACTGGAAGAACCCCATGCAAAATCCTAGAAATGTCTCAGAAGCATTTCCAGTCCTCAGAAAAAAAAAATAATAAAAATGACACATTCAGGAGGTATCTGCCCCACAGTTGTGTAATCAAGAATCTGGAGAAACAATAGGTTGGTATGCTGCCAAACTGCACGGAAAATGGCTGACTCATGGGAGTAGGAGATCTTAAAACCTGAAGTAATTAGTGGTAGATTCGTAAGTGAGAAAAAAAGGGCAATGAGACTGCTGAAAGAAAAGCTGTCCTCATTGTTGGTAAACTACAGGTGTGTCTAACGCTGCTGCAAAGGCACCCAGCCAAAAACTGAGCAGCAGTGGGGTGGGCATAGCCAGGTAGAACTGATAAGCGTAAAACCTCATCAAAGCCAAAAGCATAAATATGAAGCAGAGGACACCAGGGAAGACCTTTGGTGCTGTGAGAAAAATGTGCACAGCGTAGGAAAGCTCGCACGGTGATGACATTAATATGGTGCAAAAGGGCAAAAATAAAACTCTCCGCTACGTGCCAAGAGACAGCAGTAGCACGCCATCAGGGGAATGAATGCTAGGAAGACAGTAGGACATTACTAAGTGTGCTAGGCTGCAAAGGCTTCCTGAGAACTACGCCAGAGACGGAAAGGAATTATAACCATGCAAAGCTGAATTAAAGCAATGCAATGTCTCCGTGCCATTAGGCAGAGTAAATTGCAAGTCAAATCAGTGTTGCTGGCAGCACCAAATCCTCTGCTTTCAGCTGTACCCAGTGAATTCATCACCACATAAGGGCTCTAAGTTTGAAGCAAACAATTCATGCAGTCAATGTAAGCAGAACAAATTAAAAATAAAAATATGCAGAGCTAGCAATATTCACTAGCATCCCTGTAATGAAGCCATTAGGACGCATATCAAGAGGTGTTTGAAGGGGAGGATGTCTTCCAGGCATACAATTGCCTTCATCTATTTCCATCTTTACAACTCATGCCTCCAGGAATAACTGCAGCATTAAAGGAAATAAAAAAAATAATTGGAGCAATAGAAGGAATGGAAAAGTAAGGCATCTTTCCTAATGTCAGGGGCTACCACAAGTCACAAAGGCAGTATGGGTGCTGCTGAGAAGCCAGGCAACCCACCCCTTCCCAAGGACAGAAGAGACTTCAACAGGCACTGAAAGAGTGTTCAGCTGAGTGGTTGCAGGTGAGGAAAGGCCCAGTTTGACAAGAACAAATATATCCACGATGCAGAGAATACTGTCAAGAACTGTTGGATAAAGAAAGACACTACCCCCCCACGTCCAAGAAAAGAAAAGAGGCAGATGGCTGAGAGCACTGCAGGGATCAGAT